CCCATCCGCGTGGAGCCTCCTCTCAGACCCGCACCCCCCCCCCCCCACAAAAGGTGTACCTCCTACTAGCAATCAGGCCGATCTTGCTTGGGCTTGTCTCGTGACTCATCCTGCCGGCGCTGTTTCTGCAGCCCCAACCTTGGCCGTCCCCCCTCCAGCTCACTGCTTGCACCCCACCACCCTGAGGTGCCATTCCTACTAAGAGGGCTGCGAGACGCACCATGCCGTCACCTGGCTTCCACCTGGCTTCCACCGCCACCGTCAGCTGCTCGGCTCACAACTCAATGGCTGCACAGCAGGCGCTGACGTCTGCACTGGCGGCCAACACGGACGGCTTCATTTACATGCCACTTGAGGTGGAAGGAGAAAGCAGAGCAAGGCTGCCAAAAGCAGGCGAGGTGGCGGGAAAGGCCGAACGTGGAGTGCAGCGCGCGCTCGCGTCAAGCCACAGCCTTTGCGCTGCTGCCGCCCTTGCCGCCAAAGCCGACGCCCCCCTGGGGCGCGGTGTAGCCCTCTAGCGTCACCTCCAGCTTGTCCGCTATGGTGGCTATCCACGCCTGAGGATAAGGGGTTTTGCGTAGAGTGTCGGCGGGCGTGCGCCGCGAATAGGACGCGAACGCCGCGGCCTCTTCACGCACTGTGGCCGGTGATGTGTTTTTGGAGTCGCACTTCCTGTTCAGCCCAAGACATGCATCCTACGGGGCCCTGTGTTGCACGTGATTACCCGACCGTGCCAGGATGCAACACCGCAAGCGCCAGAGCCAGAGCTCTAAGCTGCACTGCGCATGCACAGGCCCTGAGACTTGCCCGCTGGGAACCCCATTGAGCCCCTCTCCCCCCCCCTTCCAGCGACGCACCGCCAACACCACAAAAAGACCCTTCCACTGGCCCAACAGAACCCCGGCAGTCCCCAACCAGAGCCCATATTGGCCCCCCCACCAGCACCCTAACAACCCCCCCCACCTGGTCCAGCCGGCTGATGCCGCGCTGCGTGTCTGTGCCCACCACCAGCACCCCCTGGCTGCCGATCGGCTGGACCACGGCGCCCTGCGTCGTCTCTGGAAGGTACTGCACAAATTCGAGGCGCCCTGGGAGATGGGGCAACACAGGATTGGCGTGAGACGGGAGCCCGAGAGCGAGGGGGGAGGAGAACGTGGCACGCGTGGCCGTCTTCTTCGTGCGGCTCTTGAGGGTGCGATTGGATGGTGATCAACCCTGCTGGTTCCAAACGGTGTGATGTTCCCGATGCCAAACGCAACCGCGGCTGGCTGCAGCTCAGGGTTTGCGAGGCGCCGCCCGCCTAGGACCCAGGCGCATATCCGAGGCTTATGTAAGCCCGCACCTGGGTACAAGATCAGGTTTGCCAGGTAGTTCCCCTTTCCAGAGGCCATCGCCTTCGCCGCCACCTCCCCAGCTTTGGCGGCCCCTGCAGCGTGGCCCGGGCGCGCCAGGCCGAGGTGCGCCACGTTACGCCCCCTGCGGCACGGGCAGCGTGAAAACCGGGCGTCCATGATGCGGAGAGTGGGGCGGTGCGGCGGCGAGGCGGGGCCGGGGCGCCACAGGTGCGTGCTGGTTCAAGCTGGAAGCATGCGTGACACCAAATTCAGAGGTGACGGAGGGCGGCTGCCATGCAATTAGGGCAGCTGCTCGGCCGCGGGGGCGATATAGGGCTGCCCCCCACCCCCCGCCGCGCACTGGTAGATGACGACCAGTGACGTCACCCGTGCCGTGCTGCTGAGCGCCTCCCAGGCCCTGCGCGACGAAGGAAGGTCCAGTGCGCGGCTCGAGGCGCGGACGCTTGTGCGGGTGCTCACCCAGGCCGCGCCGGCGCAGCAGCCGTCCCCCTGCCGACCCCTGCCCTGGCCCCCAGACACGCTTGCCCTGCGCCGGCCCACAGCGATGCCTCCGCCTAACCCGGGAAGCCTCATGACAGTGACCCCGCGCCCACCACTGGATCTCCTTGGCCGCAGCCTCGGGCAGCTTCGCCTTGGCGTCCAAAAACGCCACCTTGGTCCCGTCCTGCGCGATCGCCTCCACCGGCCGCGCCTTGAGTGAGAGCCACTGCAGCCCGGTCAGCAGTAGCACGGCGCTCATCACGATGCCAAGGACGTCGGCGCGCGACTGGCTGCTGCTGGCGTCGACGACGGGCGCAATCTGGGGGCGGCACGGGGGAGGCGGGCGAGCCGGCGGCGGCGTCGGCGCGCGATTGGGTGGGCGGCTGGATGGATCGGGAGCCTGGCAAACGGCCTGATGGCCGCGACGGATGCCGCTGCGCCCGGTGCCAACTTTCCACGTCAGCAGACCCACCGAAACGGGCGGGCCATGCGGCTCGCAAACCGCCTGCGTTGATGCCTGCGCCTGTTTACACCCTGTCCTGGCGCGGTCCCAGGCGGCGACAGCTCTCACCCCTGAGATGGCTCGGTTGGCCAGCAGGCCCGCGAAGCCAATAGCGCCGCCCCACAGGGGCAGCCCGCGCACGAGCCCCTGGTTGCGCGCCACAAAGTCGAATGATGCATCAGGGACCTGCGGCAGCACGGTTGTTTGTTTCGGCACGGCCCGGGGTGGTTGACGCAGGGGAGGGTGCGCTGTGTGCGTCGGCGTCCATGCCACGTGTGTGTGCTCTGCTGCTGCAGAGCGACGCAAGCCGCCCACCTCGTCGTTTGCAGCTGCTGTGCGCCAGATTTGGTGTCTCCGATACCTGCCACTTTCAATGTGCGTAATCACGCGGGGCAGAGCCGCGTTTGGCACTGCCCTCAGAAATGCTGGTGATCTGTGGGCTACGCCCGGGCAGGCCATGTTGATTAGCTGAAGTCTAATGCTTTGGGTCACGTGCGGTGTACTGTGGGGGCGAAAGAATCCGGGTCTTCGCGCAGACTCTCAGCGTCTCACGTTCCTAGCCAGCGGCTGGTTTATGCAAATGTTGGATGCAATAACATGTAACTCACGCACATGCGCACGTTGATCAACCTGTCAAGTACCCACTAATCACCTGCCTCTCATCCGACAAAGTTTGACGGAATTGACCACACCGGGCCGTGACTCTGCCGCACAGGGCCCGCGGCCGCACCGCGCCGCAGCCCGGGGCATGCAAGATGCCGCATCCTGTACTTTGCAGCAGCTTGCGATCATCTCGTTGTCTTTACGACTGTTGAGGTGACAAACTGCCTCATTGTGAGGCCGCTGCCGCCGCGCAGGTGTTTGTATAGCGGATGCAACCTCTCACCCCTTGCAGACGCGGCGACAGCGGCACCGCCACCGCCCCAGCCGGGCCTGGGCTGCGCAGCAAGTTGCAACAACTCCCACAGCACTGTTTGCAACCTCCATGCGTCTGACACCACACAAGTGAATGCAGTCCCATTAACGCGTCAGCGTATGTGTCCACGATGCGTTTACTCCAAACGGTGAACTGCAGTGGTTCAAAACAGGGACCTGTGATGAGAATGAATGGCCTGCTGCGCGACTCATGCTTGTGTCAAGCATTGCCAGCCATGAAACATTCCGGGGCAGGCAAAACCCCCTTATTCCAGAGTGTCCTGCGCCCTGCTCAGCCCCCGCCCTGCCAAAGCACCAATTCAGAGCGTGTGCCCATATTCCCTGCTCAGTTGCCAGCTCATCAAATGAACCCAGCGGCCTTCCAGGGCTTGTTCAGCTCCTCTGCTCTGCCAGAAGTCAAGTCTTGCCACGTCAAACCTGCCAAAAGTTGAACCTTGCCAAGTTTATAACAAGTCGTGATCCGCAGAAAGCTGCTGCTGCTGCTGCTGCTGCTGCTGCTGCTGCTGCTGCTGCTGGCGTCGCCGCTGCTGCTCTTTGACAGCCGCCGCCGCCGCCACCGCCACATCCGACACGCCGCTGTCGTCCTCCCCAGGCCCCGCAGCCCATACCACCTGCCGCGCCGCGGCGGCGGCGGCTGCGGCTGGGCCGCCCGATGCCGAGAAGCTGCTGCTGCTCCGCCGCCGTGGCGGCGCCCCCAGGGCGCCAGGGCCGCCCGAGCCCATTCTCTCCAGCTGAACGACAGGCGGCGGCTGCAGGATCGGCACCTTGATCGCCGCGCCGCCGCCGCCCGACAGTGAGCGCCGCACTCCGCTTGACAGGCAACCCCCCGCTGACATGGACAGCCGCGGCTGCGCCAGCGCCGCGAGCGCAGCAAAGCCGTCGTCGTCGCTGCCACCACTGGTGCTGCCGCCGCCGGCCGCGACATCGCCGCCGCCGCCGCCGCCGTCGCTGCTGCTGCCTGCCCCTTGGTCTGCCAGGCCGAGGCCCCCAATTCCAGCCCGCACCCCACCCTCACTGCTACTGCTGCTGCAGTAGGGGGAGTTGAGCGCAACAACAGGCAGCGTAGCCAGCGTGCTGCCACCACTGCCGGCCCTACTACCCCTGTCACCGCCGTGCCCGCCCCCGCCGCCGCCGCCGACGCCGCCGTTGTTGGGTAGGCTGGATCCCGGTGCCGACGACGCGCGGGGCGCTCCGCCGCAGCCCCGCTCGGCGGCCAGCAGAGCAAAGGGGTCATCAGCGGTGGCGCTGCTACCACTGTAAACGCTGCCAGCACCGACGCCAGTGGTTGCAACAGGCAAGGGGGGTTGGGCGGCTGCTGAGGTTGGGGGCTTGGCTTGGGGCGGGGCAACGCCAGCTGGCGTTGCATGTTGCGGCCTGCTAGCGTCGCCTGTGGCAAGCGGGTCGGCAGCAAGGGCGGGAGCCCGTAGCTGCTGCTGCTGCTGCTGCTGCTGCTGCTGCTGCTGCTGCTGCTGGTGCTGCTGCCGCTGCTGCTGTTGCTGCTGGTGCGAATGCAGGGTGTGGCGCGGCGCCGGCGGCTGCGGCAGTGGCGCCGGCGGGCCGAGCGGGAGGCCCGCCAGGCCGGCGCGCCCGGCAGGCGTGCGGGCCGCAGACAGCGACGACAGCGGCCGCGGCGGCGGGGGAGCGCCCCGCTGCTGCTGTTGCTGCTGCTGCTGCTGCTGCGGAGGAGGAGGAGGGTCCCTCAGCTCGCTGCTTCTACTGGGGCTGATAGGCGGCGCCTGCGCCGGCCGACCTCCGCCCGCCGCCCCCGCCGCCCACTCTAAAAC